TCCGCGTGAAGCGCGCGTTGAAAAGCTGTACTTACAGCACGCAGAGTGCATATGCCGAAGCAATTGACTCACTGGCCCGCACAAGGAAGCTGCCATCCTTGCCTACTTTGGAGAGCAGGTCTTCGGCTCTGGAGCGAGTGATGTTGCCGTGGTACCAGCATTGATCCATTGCTGGAGCTGGAGGAGACCTGAATGCCAGTGCAGGAGCTGCCAGAGCTGGCTGTGTGTCTGTGTGTAACGATCAGGCAGCTTCAGCTCACCAGCTTCCTGTTTCAGTAGTACAGAGAGGGAAAGGAAACTCAGCCACGGACAACTTCCTCAACTCAAACAGCTCAGAGAGTTGAGTGTGACATGTTACTGCAGCTCCCGCTCTCCCTCTTCATGCTGCTGCTGAAGCGACTAGCAAGCCCATGTTACCTGCCTTTCCCTCCCCCTTCGTGTCCTGATACTCCATATCACAAAGTCCCAGCTGGGAATGTCTTCTACTCCCCACCAATTCAGTGCCCCAAGCTTTGGTGGCCTGCCATCCCATGTCTGATCTCTTGCCAGACCCTCTGAGTTTCCATCTTTTTCCTGTCTATATCCTACCCATAACAGGTCTCCATGGGGATTAAATAAACTTCAGATTGATCAGGAACACACTGTGCATTAGGATACTTAGCACTGACTGCCCCATTCCTGACCAAAGCTCCCTGTCACCTACTGTGAGATGGATTCAAAGATCATTCTTCCTCTAAATCCCCAAAGATGCGATGGAGCAAAGCTATGTCTGACAAGCTGCATCAGGGTGGGGAGAACTAAAGCTTTCACTTCCCTTCTCTTTGTACATCTGCCCCTCCTCTGCAGCACTCTCAGTGCTGCATCTCCAAGGCAGAGCAATGAGGGGCATGTCTGCAGCAAGCAAGGGCACTGCTAGGGGCACTGCCTGTATGACAGATTTGGTTACCCTGTACCTCCAGCCACTCTGCTTTTGCAGGCAGCAGTTCTGCACATCCACATTTGATCTATAGCTAAAAGCAGCAGCTGAGCAGGGACTACTGTCTGGGACTCAGAGTACAGAGGGGAGCTCCCAGGAGAGGCACAGACAGTGCTGGGCCTATGCAACACTCACCTCCCAGAGTGCTGCCCCTGTTCACAGCATGGCAGGGGAGAGCAGCTTATCACCAAACTGGGAGAGACCAGAATCTGTGGGTATCAAGAGAGTGAAGCAGTACAGCCCAGCATTTGTTCCTGCCAGCCTTCGTAGTGCTTTCAGTTATCTAGACATCTGCTCTGCGTCCAGCTTAATCTCTGCCACTGACATTCAGCTGTGGGCACTGCAATTCAAAACTGTGTGGCCAGCATGGTACCCTGCCAAAATGGCAGAACTGCAATGTGCAGGGCTTCCTGTCCCTGCTGAGTAAGCACTGTCTCCAGACCAAAATTAGCTCAGCTGGACCTGCCCTTCAACTGCACACAGATTCATACGGTGCTTTAGGAGCCAGACTCCCACGGATTCAGGTGCCTGAATGGAGTCAGATGCTGAATGCCATGAAGTGGTTTTGCCTGGACACCAGCTGTAAGCTCTTGTAAGCTAGAGTGGTTACAAATCCTATTGTGTTCACCAAGAAGAGTGCTGCATATGGCAAAGGGATTGTGCAGCTCCTTTGACAGTCCTGCTTGGCCATAATGTGCTGCTAGCCTCACCTGTACCAACTTTGGGATTTCTGATACTTAAGAGTAGCTTCTCTGGAGCACAGCTGCAGCACGAAGCAGAACATCTCTGAATGTCAAACCACTGCTTGACCTCACAGTGTTTTCCGTGCAACAGACCCATATGGGGATACAAAGTGGACAGAGCTGCTGAACAACATGAGTTTTGCTGAAATGAAACTGAGAGCTTCTGATGTACTGCAAGTTAACATAAGGTAACAGATAAGTACAAGCCCTAGTCAGACATTTGAGACTGATTAGCTGAATACTTAACTTCTATCCATCTCACCACCAATTTACCACCAGTTTTTAGCAAGTTGCTGCTATTTCCTTCACGTGTGAATCCCTGTCCAGCCACACACACGTCCTTGAGTGTATGGCATCCAAAGTGTATCAAATGTATGGGATCCAAACACGTGTGATGATTGTGGCAATAAGATATGAGAGCTGGTTTCTGTATTTCTTGGTCGTAAAAAAAAAAGCACAGTACAGCTCCAGCTGCCCAAAAGGTGAATCCCAATCCCCTAACATAAACATGCCATCCCTAATGGCTCATTTGCAACACTGCCTGAAGGGGAAAATGCATCTGGTTTGTTTCTTATGGTTCTGGCATGTGAATTCTGCAGTGCTGGAGAAAGACTGATCCATGCATGGTCAGCAAACAAGTTTATACATGTTCTCAACTACCTGGTTCCCAAAGGCCTGCAACAACTTCTTCTGTCCCACACAGAGACAAGAGGCTGTTCTGCAGGAGATAAGCATTCTTCTTCTTTCCTTTCATGCCTGTGTCAGAGAAGACTGGTGAGTGGACCTGAGGAAGGAGAGATTAGAGAAGTTATATAGAGGAGAGCTAAGCGTTTATCATAGGCAGCTAGTGCAGTGTTCAGCCTGCACCAGTAACCTGCCAGGTGATATTATACGTGTAGCCAGCACAGCCCTACTGTTTCCACAAGGAATAGGATGTGCTTCAAATAGACCACACTGTCATCCCACAGCCAGGACAAAGCATGATGTAAGAGCTACACTTGTAAAACAAAAGAATAGCAGGTACATCAGTCAGACAAATCCAACCCAGCTCAAAAGAAGCTTTTAGGTAACTGCACCAGCAGCAGTATTCCCTTTAAACTTATTTGAGAGAATGAGGCCAGAGACAAAGAACTGTGACACATTTTGATGTTGGATAATCAAAAATTGCATTTCTTGCAGTCTATGGACAAAGCAAACATTATTTCCCTTCACGTTAGGGTATTATTCCAGGCTGTCTCTCAGACATTGCAATAAATACTTTATCTAAATTGGGTTTGCTACAGGTGCCTAGGTAGTACAATACCAGCTGGCTGCAAACTCACCAGCCTGCCCAAAATCAGTGGGTAAACACTGTCTGTAGCATCATTCAAGATGCACAGTGGCCACCCAACCACCCCCTATATTCCCAGCCTGTGCACTGTCAGATGAGTTCTCAAATATGTGTTTTCATGTCACCAAACAAAAGGATTTCATAGTATGCCTGACAAGGGAAGTCTGTAGGACAGCAGTTAGCTTTGCTGAAGTCTAAATACAACATTTCCTCATTAGCCAACAGGATATTGGCCACAAAGGTGTACTTAGACTCTGGCCTACATCTAAAGAGCACATGAGTAACACCCACAAAGTACTGGTTAGCTGGGCCACTGTGTGCTACTCCAGCCCAGTATGTTACTGACATGCTGCTTGAGAAAGCCTTGGCAAATTACAGGTGCATTGTGAAGGCCATGAGATCTCTTCACTCCCTTGGTACCTGCAGTCTCCAGGTGCCCTGAAACAAATCTAGATGAAAAAAATCAGAGCCCCTTCTCCCACTATCCCTGAAAGCTATCAGCAATAAAAGGCAAGAGTGGGGCCACAGATCTAGCAGAGACTCACAGATATGAGCAATGAGAGTGCTAAGGATCCTATTGGACCTGCTAGCATTCCCCAAAGATGGACATGTTCTGAGTGTTCTCTGGAAAGCAGGTATTTTTCTCCAATAGAGCAAAAAAAACCGTATTTTTCTTGGAGCCATTCTACATGTGCACACATACAAACACAGCACACAGCAAACAAGCACAGTCTAGTTCATAGAGCAGGATTTTGTCCAGAGGCATGGGTAAAGCTTTCCTTGCTCCACCTTCTCTGACATGTTTCCCTTGGTACCCTTTCATTTCTGGTCACTCCCCTTGTCTACTCAGGGCATAATGCCTCCTTTCAAATCACACCATAGCCACAGAATCATCTCTCTCACCATAACTGGGGCTGTGTCCTTCAGACACCTGCTGAAAATCTGTCTGTGTTGGAAAGCCTTAAAGCTTCAGCACTTTCATGCTGCTCTGGACTTGGTCAGGTCTCCATCCTCTGGCACCAAAGACACTCAAATTGCCTTTCCAATTTACTGGAAGTGGGGCAATGTTACTTGTTTGTCACATTGCCTCACATGCCAATAATACTGTGTAATAATAGCAGCTATGCTAGCAAGACATTGGGTTGCCAGCGATAAGAGCAGTTGCTGTGTGGATCATAGCACTTGTGTTCAAAAGACCAGAAAGTATTTCCCCTCCTGATTACAAATTGGGAGCTCCCCCTGCAGCCCTGTCCTGATCCTGCAGTTCTGATGCAGGCAAAATGCCATTTCTGCCACTTGCCCCATCCCCAAACACGGCAGGGTCCCAAACCACAGCTTTGTGTCCTACATAGGTCCTACTGTCACTGTCCAGGAAGAGGGAGCAGCGGGAGCACAAGTTTTCTTGCATGAGAAACCATCTTCTCAGTGCAGTGTAAGCAAAAGGGCAAATAAGGAAGACTGTACTGCATGGGAAGTAAGGAGAAGGCTAAGTAAGACAGAAGTCCCTGGGGGACCATTCAGCAAGGCAAACCCAAACCCACTGCAGAAGTGAGCAAGGAACATCCTGAGCACACAGCATCCCATGGCCCTGCTGAATTGAAGACAGCAAGCCCTGAAATCTGGAGTTGCCAGCAAGTCCTGCACTGACTGCAAGAAGCATCGCACCTGACAAAGCACTTTTCTGAAGAAGGGAACTGCAGCCGTAGGGCAGTCAGCCCAGGGTCCTCCCTAGCATTTTCTCCGCAACTTTCTGAATTCAGCTCACATAAAATCACTGCCATCTGTTCCAACATAGGCCCTACGTTGTCCCTAATCAAGTCTATCAGAAGCCTCAAGGCAAGAGGACCTATACAAAGGTCATGCTTGTTTTGAGTGCATGATGCTTAAGATAGCAGCCAAAGGGGAAGGCAAAAAGCTAGAACAAGCGATAGAAAACAAAACCAAACACATATTTATTTTTACTATGTTTAATAGACTTTGTAATCCACAGACAACACAGGCCAACGCCAAAATAAGGGTGCAGGAGGAGCAGAAAAAACCTTTTGCTGAAAGATGACAAGTAACAGTGAAAGAATTATCAGCAAATGTGGTTTTTAGAGGGTTGATGATGGAAAGGCTCAAGCCTCAGCACTCTAATGGAAAGGCTTGCTTCAAAGTGAACATTACAAAGATTATCTCTTCACACTGTTGGTGGGTCCCGTATTCAAAGAGGCAGGAGAACAAGGGTGAGCCATCTGGCCCAACCCCCATGTACTGCAGATCCGAATAAGCACACAGACCCTTGAAGAGGATGCTTGGTTTTGTCCAGTGTGCTGGATTTAAAGGGCTTTTGTTGAGGTAAACTCCCAAATCTCTTCGACCCTTTGGATCTGTAGGATGAGTGTAGAGCAACCAACTGTCTTGGCATCTGGCATCAGGGGGAGGTGGGAAGGCAGTTACACTTCCGTGACAACCAGAAGGAGGTTCTACCAGCATTTCTACCCGCTGGCCTCCCTCAAAGTCCACCCCATGGTTGTAGCTGACAGCCTGGATTCTGGCTCCCCTGCTGCTCCTTGCATTGCAGTAGAGGACCTTCCTGCCACAGGTATGCACCTCTGCAACCTGGCACTCCACTGCACTCTCCTCCCCAACAAAGTTCCCCATCTCCCACGTTGTCCCATGATCAGAGCTGATGAAGCAGAAGGCATGAGGGGTGGGGTGTTGCTTAGGGTGCAAGATACGATAGGCATAGGCAGGAATCACGAGGCTCCGGACCTTGTTGAGCAATTGTAATCCATGACCTGGCCCCACTGCAAAAGTGGCCCAGTTCTTGTACTCAGTGCTAATGGTACTGTTGGTGACATCCCGGGCAGCGCTCCAGGTCTGCCCTTGGTCCATGCTAGTGACGTAGCAGAGACGTACCAGGTTGATCTTTGTCCTGAGCTGATGCTGCTCAGAGATCTTTCCTGGGACAGCTATGAAGAACAGGATCAGTTTCCCTGAGACCTCATCGTAAACAGGACAGGGGTTCATAGATCGGTGGTCTTTCAGCTGTGCGTTGACAATGGTCTCCATTCTACTCCACTGCCAGGCCCCGTGTGGAGACAAGAATGAAACACACCATTACAAACAGGTCCATGTTTCAGTGTAAAGATGGCTAGATAAAAATTACAGAAGAGCATGAAGAGAACAGAAGGGAAGTTAGTGGATAGAGCAAGAAATGGGAAGACGGTACACTGGCACTGCCAGACATAAATGAAAATCATTTGCATGACACAATGCATGTGCATCTCACCAAACAGGTGGATTATGTCCTTTTTCATTATTGCTTTGGAGCTGAAATCTTATTGCAGCTCATGTCTGACACACAGACATGCCCAGTGGTCAAAGTGTACAGACACTGTGCTGTCAGTGTTTTTTAGGAAGTCAGATAGGTAACTGCACCCTTTTCAAGTATCCTAGGTGCTGAGAAATTCCTTTCCATTCAGATTCCTATTCCATTTGCGTGAATAAGCATATCAACCCACACTGAGGCACCTCACTAGAGCAGACTGTATGGCTTTACACACTCTGGTATGGAAACTTGGACCCTGAGTCGTCCAACACAGAAAATAAGTCACAGAGCAGGTGTAACAACTCTCCAAGCCTTGACTGTCTTTAAATGAATAGCACAAAACACAATCACATTTCTGACACTAACATTGCAATTAGAAAATTATTCCTACATCATGTTATTGGCTTAGTAAAAGCAGCAGTATTTTCCAGTAATCTTATATTAATTGGCTTTTCTGACTTGCTCATTGCCCTTTTCGGTCGTGTCTTGTCTTTGTCTATTCCACCAGTATTAACTTCTTGGGAATATTTATTATTTCCATTTTAAGAAATTCTAGCATGTGAACACAAGTTACTGAGTTTAAAACCAACTGAGCCCTACCTAACTGAATTACACGGGGTTACACAAGATGTTAGCTGAATGGTATGACACTGCAGGTGCACTCAGAAGCTGCTCCTGCTAGGCAGATCCCAGCTCTTAAGAGAGTCTATAGTCTATGACAACCAGTCACCAAGAAAGGACTGGAATAGAAAAATATAATGACTTTTTTTTCCTCAAGACATTAATGCATTTGCAAATGCAAAAAAATATTATAAATAGAGTATCCACCACCCCCAGTCACCCAGGAAGATAACTGTTAATAATAACTAGTTGATTAATAAGGTAGCCAATTCACTGGCACAGAAAAACCAGACACTTCTGCGTGGGGTGATTAGCTGTTCTGAATTGGTTTTTAAACTAGAAATTAGTCCTAAGAAAATGAATTAAATAAGAAAAAAAAAAAAAGCTAATTCACTCCTCACCATCCCTGTGGCATTCCCCATTTCTGCCTCTCCTCCACATCTTTGCTGTTGCAACAGGGCTTTTGTTCCATCTCTCCATTTGCTTCCCCAGCTCTGCAATGGTGGGTCAAATCCCAGCAGTTGTAATCACACAGAATCACAGAATGGTTTGGGTTGGAAGGAACCCTGAAGATCATCTGGTCCCACCCCCTCTGCTGTGGGAGGGACACCTTCCACTAGACCAGGTTGCTCAAAGCCCCATCCAACCTGGCCTTGAACACTGCCAGGTATGGGGCTTCTCTGGGCAATCTGTTCCAGTGCTTTAAGACCCTCACAATAACCAACTTCTTCCTTATATCTAATCTAAATAATGACACATGCATTACTTACAAGCAGATAAGTCCGTGTAATTGGGGAGAATGAAAAGCTGCCTTCTCCCACAGCGAGAGGGCAAGCATTCAACTCATGCAAGGACAAGTGAGCAGTACAGGTGAGCAGCCTCCTCCCTTTCCTCCCCACGCTGGTACCTGCACATGGTGCGTGGTTGGGTCATATGTGCCTCTGCGCATTGCTATTAGCTTGGCATGTTCATCCACCACATCCTCTCGTTCCTCAGCGAATGCCAGGATGATGCTGAACCGTGGCAGGTAGAGCAGAGCTGGAATTCGATAGCTCCAGGTACCATTCCGGAACAACGTCTCTTGCTTCAAGACAGGAAATGAAGCCATCGTGCTAGGGGGAAGAAGAGAAAACACACTGCATTTGACCCACACTTAACACAGCAAAATGGGACAGATTTCACTGCTTTTTGCCCTCCCAGCTCAGTGGGACCTGTCCTGCATTGAGACACAACTACTGCTTTCAGCTTTGTCTTTTTCTTGTGCTTTTCCAGAGAGAACCCACATGTTGCATACTGGCAACACAGACCAATCTTACCCCAGGAGCAGCCTGGCTGATCTTACTGGAGTGATGCAAGTGCAGTAAAAACAGTTAATGAAAAGCTGCCTATGGTTTGTTGTTTCTTTTTAATTAAATCCACGGCCTGGGATTTTTGTCGATTTGCTTTCCAATTCAGCAAACTGTTGATAATTAAACATTATAGTATTTTCCCTCAGAAGACCATTACTGTCTTTGTTGATTGTGTTTCCAAAAACCAGCACAGAACTTCTGCTTTGCCAAACAGGAGCTTAAATGCCCATCTCAATGACACACTGAGGCAATCCCTGGCCTCCGCTGTGTCCCTGTTTGAGGGTAGTGAGCACTAAGCATGAAAAAAGAAAGAGCACATCCTTTCCCCTATAAGATTAAAGAATTGTCTGAATCGTGTCCCATTCCTTGTCATCTGCACAGTGAATTAAAAGCAACATTAGGGAGGAAGTTAAACATGAGGAAGCATTTAGGGAAGCTACCTCTATGTAAGCGGTCTGTGCTATAACCCCACACAGCCTCTCTTCCTCAGACCTGCTCAGCCCTCTATCCTCTTGCACCAAGCCTCTCCTACCCTGGTAGAACCCCACTATCTCAGGGGGACTGTGTCTGAGCAGCAGGGGGAAAGATCTCTGACATGATATACCAGAAGCTGAAGGCCTGAATATCCTCTGCTCAGCAGGGATAGGGGAAAAAAATATTAGATCTCTGACGCATTGAGTGGGTAGTATGGCAGGGAGAAGATGACAATACACTATGAGTAAGAAATTCAAATGCCTCCTACCTCAGCTGAGGCAAGACTTGCTGCGCTCTTTGTTGAGGATTCTCGTATTTACCTAAATCTTGGAAAGCACTGTAGTGGCTATTGGCCAGGTATCAGATACTTATGTTTTTGAAGGCTGCCTTGATAATCCAGGACCAGATGGAGGCAACCTGACAACTGCTTATGCAGCTGCAGAGTGCACATACCTACCTGGAGAATAGTTTGCGCTATTCCATCTTAGAAAAGATTATATTAGCCAGCATAACTAACACAGACCTGGTTAACAATTTGTTTTGTGGTTTTGTGTGTTTGTTTTGGGTTTTTTTGCATTGCTGATTACTGAGTTAGGACAGCACAGATAAGCTGAACTAATCCTCCTCAGACAGGACCATCGCATTATGCTCTATCCAGATCCATAGCTAGGCAGCGAGTATTCAAACATCCCTTGTCTTCGCCTTCCAGATGCTATAAATATCAGTGAGATTTTTCAACTCACAGCACTGATCAAGAGGATTTGAACTGCACTGTCTTAGCTAAAGGCAGCTGTACGGGAGACAAAGGAGATGTAGGAAAAGCCACAGGAGACAGAAATCTGTCTCCGAAGAGTAGCTGTTTCCTCCTTACTGTTGCTGATGAAATGGCAGTCTGAGAAAAGGCAGCAGCAGCACTACTGTACAGAAATGTTACCAGAATTTATCCCAGCTATCCGTCCAGCAACATGAAAAAAATAGGAAGACCCTCCTAGAACAAATAACTGCGCTGTTCAGTACTTACCAGCATGGATCTGGCTATTTATACAGACCAGAGTCATGGCTGTGTTCTCATGGCTCCTGAAACAGAAACGCCCTAGAGTGCTTCCAGACTATTTTAAAGGGAGATTATTTAAAGGGAGATTAGTCAGCCTGCCTAGTGCAGCACAGGTTCCCTGGCATTCCTGCTCATGATGCCATTCCAATACTGCAATCCTGCTTGAGGGCAGGGCAAGGGGAGAAGAAAAGAAAGGAAAACAAAACCAAGGGGAGAATGAAGATCTAGGCTGCCACATGAAGTCCCCAATGCAAAGACAAGAAACCAGTGCCATGGGAGGCTGTGCTGCAGTGTACTGCACCCGAGTCCCTCCCATATGAGCCTGTCATCTGTGGACATCTCTGCCCATGTTCTTAGTCCACTGAGCTCTGTGAGATGCTCGGTGTGGGTGTTGCAACACTTCATTTCCTCATATTGCCAAATGGGGTTTGAGGGAAGGTGTGATGTTAAAAGGCTGGGAATAACTGCCATAGAAACAAGCCCAAGGGTCCTGGACACAGCACTTGCAACTGTAATTGAGGAAAATACTAAAATCAAGTGAATTCCATCTATTTGAAATAGATAGGAATTCATATCATACATACCAGTCCCTCTGAGGTTTAACTGCCAAGGGATGCATGTGCTACTTTGCTCCTAAACCCTACTGAAATAGCATTGAGTGGCTTGCAAGGAAGAAGGTAGCAGCATTTCAGACAGCACAATCTAAGGACATTGGCAAGGCAAAGTTTGTAGGCCACAGCAATATATTCTGAAAGACCAAGAGGTTTAACTGGAAAACCCCACAAACTTGTGGGAACACAAAGGCCTGAAATACAAGCAGGAGACTGGAGAGCAGCACACAAACCGCTCAGACCAGTATCAATTCAGTCACCTTGGAGTTAGCTGTGCTTTTGCGTGAGGTAAAAGGGTGAGAAAAGGGAAGCAGAGTTGATGTGTAATTCTTTCCTAGGAGAAAAAGAGGTAGCTGGTAACCTCTTTCCAGATGACAGAGGTGCTAGTGAGGGAAAGGGAAGTTTATCAGGTAACCACTGAGCCATTATTCCCTTCCGCACTTTGGCATTTACTGGAGTTTCGCATTTATTTGCCAGGTTTATCCCTGTGAGGTGTCCTGTTCAGGGAGGCTGACCTCGACCTGCAGTTCCTCTGCAAGACGCCAGGGAAGCTGCTGCACTGAGCTCCAGTACCTCCCCCCTGAGCGGGGCAAACACGAGGAAGGACGGGCACAGTGGAAACACATAAGAGAAGGGGGGAGTTAAATTGGAGGAAACCATTACTCATAGTTTGCAAGTTACACGGCTGTAACGACTTCCAAAGCAGAGAGTGTTTCCAGCCCACCAGAAGAGTCAAAAGCAGTAACAGCTGTCAACAAATGGATCTCTGATGGATCTGATGCCTGGAAGGCGCTCAAGCTGCATAAAGGCTAGGTGCTGGCAGGACACTAGGAGAAGGTACTTGTTCCTTCCGCTTCTGTCCTTCAAGGAAGCGCACACAAACTTGTCTAAAGAGCAGGATGAGCCCTTGCATGTTTATTTGCCCTCTCCAAAAAAAAAGTGACTAAAAAGGATAACATTTCCCCTGACCTCAGCCCTCAACATGTTCAGATCCAAGCTGAAATGACAGTATGTCTCTAAAAACAAAGAAAGAAACCCAGCAGAAATGAGGTAATATGCTGAACTTTATCCCTTGGCCCCCATCAGAGTGTTCTGTGCAGAAGGCAGCTTGTTCCTGAAGGAATTCAGATAGATCCCAGAAGAACAAACCAATCCATTCAGGGAGCTTTAGGAGGGAAAATACAAACAAAATGCCCAACGAAGTCAAGTGCAAAACCCAACTAAAATCCTGCTTTTCAAAGCAAGCACAAGAATCCAGGTCCAACAGTTCTCTACTCAACATCAGACCTGATCCTTTCCAAACTTACAAAAGTCAACTAAGTGATATGTTGAAATACATTTCTTGTTTCACTGGAAGACATAAAGACATTTCCATTGGGATACTGGGGGAGGGAGAGAGGCAGGAGTAGCCACATTCCAGTTGTACAGTGCTAAGAAAGAGCAGACCCAATTTTCTTCTAGAATACTTGCTACACGGCGTATTCCTGTGTGCAAGCCTTTCCTCCTAGGCAAACAGCATGATTGTGCTTGTTTCTGCCAAAGCCTAGCATCACAGTGCTCCATTTGCAGCTTTCTTGTGCCCCTAGAGCAGATCCTACACTAAACCTAGGCTATGGGATTTCTTACCAAGCCAGACAGCACACATATTTATTTAGTCCAATAAATCACCTTCAGTATAAAGTCTGAAAGAAGAGTGATCAGTGAGAACAATAAACAAATTAAAACGTTCAGATTTCAAAAGTGAAGAGGCACAGAACTGGAATTACTTTAATCCATCAGCCAACTGGATTAAACTTTTTAACCACACTAGAAACAGAAAGGGTTTCTTGTGGTAAAAACTTCGTACCACACTTACAAGGGGATTTTCAGCCTCCCCATTACACGCTTTACTAATCAATCAAGTTCTGCTTTTGGCTCATGGCTCAGCCCAGCACGAGCTGCTGTACCTTTAAGTGGAGGTTTTCTTAGCACTAGAGAAGAATTACATGAAGCAGCAGTATTAATGTTAGCGCATGTTTGGTGGAGGCATACACAAACTGCACTCCTACTTGAACCTACAAGATGTTGTATTTACCTTTCTAGTTCCTAGCACTGCCCACTGTTATGGAAAAGTTGTTGTTTTTTTGTCTTAAAGAACTAAAATAAATAAATAAATAAATAAATACCTCTTTCACTCTGTGTCTCCTGGAAGCCACGTCAAATGGGAAAAACACAACCCAAACAACAAACCCAAAAAGCACTCCTACTGGATTAGATAAAAGGGAGGCTCACCACACTCTTGCCAACTAGTCTCCAACCTGCAAAATAATTTATATTGGCAGCAATGTCAGCTGCCCTGGATCCCAGGAAAAGCTAGCAGCTGGCATGTATACGCAAGGAGACATTTAAATAGCAAACCTGTTTTGCATATAAGGGGAGGTTCCATGTGAGCTGGACAAGCACTAGGGAAAGAAATTATCGTAGTAATTAAGCAGCATACTTCTACCTGCATGGATCAACAGCGCTGTAGAACTGCTGTTGTTTCTAATGGTTATGCAGTTCAGCATGCTGTCTTATGTCTTGGTCTTCTTGTCCACTTGATTTGAGGAGGGGAAAGTTCCTCTGGAACTGCAGACTCCCGGCGCTTCCACTCAGAGTGCTCCTGAGCTCTGGTAAAGTTTGCCACAAAACCCCAGAAAATAGCTATAACCAGCAGGTGATGGTGCTGTGATCATCTGATATATTCCTCTTCTGGCTCCAGGCACATCCAATCCATCAGCGTGCTGGTTTTGGATGAAGAAATGGACTAGCACAGGAGTCCGCACGCAGTGGTACAGGAATAATGTGCTGGTGCAGGCAGATACAGGCCCAGCAGCATCTGTGGAGGTGTTGACAGGGCCAAACTACCCCAGCAGCTCCAGTCAATGAGCTAATGGGGAGAGTTAGGCATAAGGATAGAGAGGAGAGTATGAGCCTGGGGTCCCAGGTGAGGAAGAAGAGGATGGCATCACCCCTTCTCCCAGCTGTGCCCTAGCTTAGAGGCAGCACCTGCAGTGTTGGGAGTAGCCAAGCCAATGATTTCAGGACTACCTTGTGATAATGATCTAATGTTGTGCTGCTGCTGACAGAGATGACCTTTCCTATCTGCTTCTTTCACTTTACCCTCTTCTCTACTGTGTTTCCACTGCTGCCATTAGTGCTTCTTGTCCTTGAAGTGACCCAAGAAAATGAAAACAACAATCCTACAAACAGATCTTGCTAGTGATGAAAAAGGAGTAAGAAAAGTCTCCTCATTTGATGGCAGTTGTAGTCCATCTGTGCAAGCCAAATAGGGAGTTGCAAAAGCATGGATTTACAGCCAATCAACCAAATGCTTTAATGCTTCTGTATTACTAATTACCATCTTCCCTCTCTCTTGAGCAACCCTGTATCCCTTCTTGTGCCAGCGCTGATGCTCATCTCACCTTGGCAAGCCATCAGAGGATGTCAGCCTGGCAGAAATGAGTCCAGGAAAAAAAAAAGAAGTGAAGTTTTCTGCTGGGTCATTGTCCTGGACTGCGTCAGCAGGAGTCAAACAGGCAGCATGATCTGAAGCAGGAGCATGAAGCTGTTGACAGGAGGAGCAGGCTCACCTCTGTGACTGGCAGCTGACGTTAGATCAAATTAGCTGTATCATAAACCCACACCCCATGTTTACAAACTCTGCCTAACTAGGCTAGTGTTGCTTTAACTGAGACACACAGGAGAAGCCTGAGGGCATTTTTAGCTCTCTGCTTTACCTCGAATCAAACAATATTCAATGTGAGGGAAAGTCCCTTCAGAGACCATGACATTGATATCCACTAGATAGTAACTTTTAACAGTGACTCGTGGAGAAAATCCAGAGTCAGGTAAAACAGAAGCAATTGAGGAAGGGAGGCACTAACAAGCTGCTAAGGTGCAGTCTGCCAGAAAGCCAGACATGAACGATTGCTTTGTGGATTTCTTCACCTTTTTTTCAGCTTCCAGGCTGACAGCAGTGTTACTCAGGTGCTGTTCTGAGTCACACTTCTGCAGCCAGACAACACATAAATGCTCATTTGTTCAACAGAAATCACCTTGCCCAGATGCACCTTAAAACTGGTTGTCCATCTCTTCTTAATGCAGGAAGTCCCAGATGTGGCTTGCTGTCTTGGCAATGTTTTGCTGTTTTACATTGGCAGTGTGCACATGGCAGAGTGGCCATGCCTCTGGCCACCTCTGATCTCTCCTTATCATCTTCTCCTCAACTAAGGCTCCCACCTTCCCCTGCAGCCAGCTGGGGTGTACTGCCTTGCCCTGCTCCCCAGGGCAGGAATCAGACATGGCTGTGCAGAAGGTAACAGCCTACAATGGATACAACTACTCCCACAATGAGGAATTCACTGCTTAGTCATGTTGAGGTTAACCAGGGTGAACCCCAGTGCCTGTGCAGGACAGCCACACAGTCAACATATGGGCACCCTGCAGTGCTTCCCCTGCATGGCCACTGCCAAGCACTGCCAACACCCAGGCCTCCAGCACTGCTCTTCATACATACCACAGACTTGTATCTGCAAAAAAAACCCTCCTCTTTGGAAAAAGTGCTTTTTTCCAAACAACATGTTGTATGCTGCAACTGTATTACAAAACTCTTCCTTGCTAACTATCAAAAATGGATGTCTCGGTGCAGACCTGCTAGGCTTGATCCTCCTTCTTTGCTTTTGGTGTAAATCAAAATCAGTGTCACCAGTGAAGTTTAAAACGGGTATAGGTCTGAGGAGAATCAAGCTCTTCACTTCTATTGTTCCACGCTTACTTCATTGCCCTTAGATCTGATTGTTGTAATGAAAACGTTTTTAAAAAGGTTAAAAAATGCAAATGGGCTGTGTGGGTGCATTAATAAGAGGATATAAAAATAATGCAGAAGATAATATAATGACAGAATACTGAACAATGGAGCATTTGCATTTTGAGGACCATGTTCAATTGCGGGTGCCACCTCTTAGGAAAGATATAGCAATAGCTGCAAATGAAGGCTAAGAATTCAGAAGCTAGTGCTTTTATGAACATATGTGAAAAGAAGCCAGTAGGAAACCAACACAGGTTACATTTAAGAGTGATACCTAGTCCATTAAAAATAATCAGTGCAGAGTGTTCAAACCTGATTCCATTGATTGCTGACACTATTAGAAAAGCAGGCCCAGCTCGGGTAATTCAGCATTTTTGTTGTGCTGTACAGTGCAGCAGCTGCTGTCAGGCAGCTGTAGTTAGAATCCAGAGGTCTTCTGTAGAGTCAGGCCATATGAGAAAGAAATGATGCAGTTCTGCAAATTTTCAGGTAGAACACCTTGGGCTGCTTTTCAGACATTAGGGATTCTATGACGGAATATGGTATAATCTGTGCAGAACACAAATCCTATAGACCTGAGGTCTGACTGAAAGTCTGCTCTGTCAGGTGAAAAGAACCAAAACCAAACCGAAACACGAAAAAGCCAGAATAACAATAATAATGCAAATGGTAGTGGCAGAGCTCTTTGGGAAAGAGGGTTCATTGGACAAGGAAAATTCTGCCATTTTATTTTCACTCCAATTCTAGTTAAGGAATTTAGAGCACATTTAAAACCAGCACCATATCCATACCAGCTGTAAGAGCAGCAGGTAAGAGGAGCAGGTACTCTTTGCATTTGTACCATTTCATACTCTATTTACTCCAGTGAAGTTGTTTCTTATTTCCCTCAGAAAAAGTAAGCACAGAATGGTGCTGCTAGTGTTTCTTTCCCAGTAAGTAATAGCCTTTTACAAATTATTTCCTCTCCTTATGGAAAGAATTGGGCAAAATCAAAATAATACTCCCTCAGCCCAAAGAGCAACAACATCACCCCACAGTGGACCCATAAGAACTGCTGACACTCCATGGCGAGTCGTGGGTTTGTAACAGGAAAGCTTCCTTACCCTGTGAGAGACATCCATTAAACAGCCTGCCTATGACACACATTACACCATTTTTCCATTTACTTTGCCTATTTGGAATGCAAAAATAAAACCCAACAAACTTTATTTTTGTAACTAAACGAATGGCACAACCTATGGGAAGCAAAAGAAGAGAAGTGGTGAGATTTACATACAAAAAGGGGATTGTAGAAGTAGGATTTATTTAGCTCTCAAAATAGTGACACTGGGAAGGAGTCACTGAAGCAATTTAATAACTGGAAAATGCAATAAAACTGGAGGCCTTTGCTTCATGTACTCTGCCAGTGCCAGGGCGCTCAGATAAGCAAGTCTGAAGCACAAGGTTAGGTAGATTCACCCCTGGGTGAATTCACCCTGCGGTGAATCTTGTGACAGAGGGGAAGCCAAATTCCAGTGTGTATCTCATTCCCGTGTCCTGCTAGCCGACAGACCAGGAGTGCCTAGGTCTGATGGTGGCTTTGATTAATTATTATAGGATTAATTGTTGACAGTCCTCTACATCCATTTCGGGCCCCCATCTGATATAAAGGGACACTGGCACACGATGACTGACCTCAGATTAACCAAAGCTTTACTCAAGCAACATTTGGTCTTCCGTGGAGTAGGCTGGAGGCTGGGCATACAGCTCCATTTTAAATAGAATAGCATAATGTCATGACTAATTAAAATATTTTGATATGAGCAAGGCACTTGGTAAGTTCAGTGAACTTCAGAAATCAAAGGAAAGACTACCGTCAAATTGCACAGTGATTCTGTTTGTAAGAGTCATTCAAACTGCTGGCTTAAAAATACCAAGTGAGTTACCCAAGGATGAGGAAAAACTTCTCTCCTAAGTATAGCACTGCAGAGGTATCTACAAGCATTACAGGTTTATTTCTCTTCCTTTGAAGTGTTGGGCCCTAAGCTGCCCACAGAAGAGGGACATTCAAATAATAGCATGCAAGCCCAGTGGAGAGAACAGCAAATGTAAGCACAACTTGAGTAAGAAATCATATATTGCAAGGGAGAAAATTTTAACAGACATTTGGATTAACAGATCCGAAAAGCCTTAAAATAAAACCAGGCTTGCTCTGCTATATCCACCCCAGTGTCCAGGTGTGTGAACACACATGAAATTTAAAACTGGCAACCTAAAAATAGTCATAAACATTCAGGTCTTTTCATCTCAAATGGCTGTAAATCATGTAAAGCAGGAGCAGTTTCTCAGCCAGTGGGCCTTTAAAGTGTAAGCAAATACCATTTGCTGTTTCCACTCTTTGCGTTTGCAGATTTGGACAAGAGCTTCACCCAGTTGTTAAAGATTTATATGGGAGGTTTAACAATGCCCTGTCATCAAGCCTTTGGCACAAGCAGTGCAAAGGACATTCAGGGCATATTTGTACTAACTTATCTGGGTAAAGGGAAAGCTGTTCCTTTAAATTATGTTTGCTGTGACTCTGGAAACTGAGCAAACAAAGTCTGAGGGAAACTTCACTCTTAAGCAGAACTGACAGAAGGTACAAGGACTGAAAGACAGGGATCTTCTTTCCAAAGGACATACCCACCTCTGGAGCCACAACTGAATTGCAAATCTAACAACCTGGAGGAGTTTAGTCCAGACTTGTTGGACATACCTCATCCCTATGACAAATGAGACTGGTTCAGCCCCAGACTGTCAGGTGAGTAAATTCCTATTCTGGGGGGATACTGGAAGAGGAACGGTCTGAGGAAGAAACCTCAGGCCACAACGGGACGAATTCAGCGCCCAAGAAAGAGCCGACTTTGCTCTACAAGTGAAGTCACACTGAAGGAGTCCTATGCAACCCAGACAGAGCACAGCCATGACACTGTTGAAATGCTGGCTAACAGAGATGAGAGACACCATTGGCACAGCTTGACATGCATAAAAACCACAGCAGGGAGGAAGCCTAGTCAGAGGAGACCCAGCCTGCACAGAACGGGCATTAATGTGACCAACTGAAGAGCAAACATCCCCCAAACCAGCCAACCAACCTGTGTGTCTTTTTCCAGGGGCAGGACAAGCTGTGATTTTTCCTGGCAAATGGGGTCTTGCTTAAAAAAAAAATACATAAATAAAGACAGGAAATAGGAAAAACAGCCTGTTTTCCTCCTAACACCAGGCTGACCATTCCCCTTAGCTGATCTTTCACTCTCAGGAGACCAATTGCTGTGTCTCCAGTGTAGCTGTGAACACTGCACCAGCAATTCTGTGTATTTTTAAATGCACAAAGTAAACAGGGACTAAAATTCCCTAAGAACAAGCTAGCTCTTGAGAGATGAGACTATCGACAGATCCAACTGTTATAGTGGAGCTGCCACTTCCAGATCTAGTTGAAAGTAGGAGATTGCACTAAAATAGTAGGAAAAAAAAAGAAAACTTTTCACTGAACCTGCATAAAGGACTAATTGGCTGACATTAATTTTAAGAGATGGACAGAAAATTTATTCAGGTTTGATTTTCTCCAGACTCAAATTGGGAGTGATAAATCAAATCTACTTTAAGATTAACTGTCAATACAGG